CGGCAATGCTCTAATCCCTTGCTTTGTCGCTTGACCGTATCATTTGTCTTGGAGCTGAGGGCGCCCTTGGCGAGCGCGGGCCTCTCGCAAGGGCGCCTTTAGCGGACGCTTATCTTTTTCCAGAGCGCCCTACCCTTAGGAGCGCTGGCGGACGCTAAGCCAATTGGGTCTGGCCTGCCGGACGCACCAGCCTTCTGAGCTGGGTGCGGCTCTTCCGTGATGGCAAGGGCACGTTATCAGTCAACTCGACGAGTTGTACGAGGGTTTCCCGCTTTCTGGACGCTGCATGGACTCGACGAGTTGTTTGGAAACTCGGCGAGTTGACTCGAGTTTTCGGTCTCTGAGTTTTGAAGGAACTCGACGAGTTGGGTTAACAAGGACTGTTGACCTTGACTGTTGACTGTTGACTTTGACCATGGTTGACTAAGTTTGACTTTAAGGGTATTTTGGTAATTTGGGTTTTGATAGGACTGGTCCTATGATGATTGTAGGTGTTTGAGTTTGGAGCTGTGATTCAGGAGCTTGATTCTTTCAGTTCAGTTCGACATTGTGAGGTGAGTTCTTCTCACTATATCAATAGGGTCAAAGGCACTAACGCCGGCCCTTTCGATTGTTATCCTGTTTTATTACTGTTATGATCTGTTAGATCGGTATCTTGGTAGATAGGATGTTTCTATGTGGTTATGATCTGTTAGATCGGTGTCCGAGTAGATAGGATGTTGCTATGCTTAGTGATCTGTAGATCGGTTTGACTGTCTATAGACTGTTATGTGATTATCTGATATATGTGCATATGATTGATTGATGGCTGAGGCTTCACTGCTTTGTGCGTAAGCCAACAGGACGGGGCATTCCAACCTGATGGTTGAGAGCCGAGAGTATTCCATCCCGATGGATGACTGGACTCGCAGTATGTTGGCATTCCAACCCGATGGTTGAGGGCCGAGAGTATTCCATACTGATGGATGACTGGACTAGCAATATGTTAGCATTCTAACCCGATGGCTGGGGGACGAGAGTATTCCATCCCGATGGAGTACTGGAATCACAGTATGTTGGCATTCCAACCCGATGGTTGAGGGTCGGGTATTCCAACCCGATGGTTGATTGGACCCATAGTATGTTGGCATTCCAACCCGATGATTGAGGGTCGGGGTATTACAACCCGATGGTTGATTAGACCCATAGTATATTGGCATTTGCAACCCGATGGCTGAGGGTCTGGGGTATTCCATCCCGATGGATGATTAGACCCGTAGTATGTTGTTTGAGATTTATGTTATTTTTTGTGTGTTAGTATCTTGGGGGAAACTCACTAAGCTTCGTGCTTGAGGTTTCAGTTTATTGTTTCAGGTGCTCCAGATGTTTGGCAAGGCGAAGGCGTGACCATACACATCCTCGTGTTTTTAGAACATATGGTTTCTGGGATACTCTGATAACGTAAAAGTTTTGAAAACTATGCGTAAATGACTCCGATTTTAAATAAATGTTTTGGGAACAATGGTTTTGTAAACACCTCTTTAATAAATAGGTTGCTTTGAAAAGTTTTAAATTGGCATGATTTTTATGGATGTTACACTGATGGAACCATTGAACATCACAAAGCTCCTCTTGTAGCTAAAGGCTTCACATAAAAAGAGGGTATTAACTATCACGAAACTTTTTCTCATGTTGTTAAGTTTACTACCATTCATTGTCTTGTTTCTGTTGCTGTTAAAAAAGGATGTGATATACACCAATTTGATGTTAACAAGTCTTTTCTTCATGGAGATCTCCATGAAGAAGTATACATGCGTGTTCCACCAGGACTCTTGGTATCATCTCCTTCTTTAGTTTGCAACTCCAAGAAGTCATTATATGGGTTAAAGCAGGCGTCAAGGCAATGGTATGATAAATTGTCAAGTGCCTTAATACATCGAGGCTATCATCGATCTTCAAATGATTACTCAATTTTTCTAAAGAAGGCTTCCACTTTAATTGCTATTGTTGCAGTATACGCCGATGATATACTTGTTACAAGCAATGATTTTTCTGAAATTGATTGCCTCAAAGCTTCATTACATGATCAATTCAAGATTAAAGATTTAGGACAAAAAATCTTTTTCTTGGGCTTAAATTCACTAAATTGGCATGGAATGGTGGTACATCAACGAAAGTTTAGCAACAATTTGCTACAATGTTATTCTATAACAGACTCTACTATTGTGAAAATGCCTTTTCCATAAAAATTGTCGTTATTTCCACAAATGGATGACCCTTTGGAAGATCCTTCTGTTTATCAGCAATTGATTGGCAAGTTGAACTTTCTTTTATATACAAGACCAGATATTGCATTCTCTGTGAAATATCTTAGTCAATTTAATCAAACCCCAAGTCAAGCTCATATGATGTTGCTATTCATGTGTTATAATATCCTAAAGGTACTATAAATCAAGGACTTCATTTCAAAACTAATGCTCTTTATAACATTGTAGCCTATTGTGACTTCGATTGGGCCACTTTTCCTCTTACAAAACGATCTATCAGTCGGTTTTTCATCTTGTTTGGTGGCAATCCTATTTCGTGGAAATCTAAGAAACAAGCTACTATTTCATTGTCAGTTGCTGAGGCGGAGTACAGGTCAATGTGTCGTGTTTGTGCAGAGTTTGCATGGATTAATAGATTGTTTGCTGACTTTAAAGTACCAAGAATAACACCCATCCCTTTGAAATGTGATAATAAAGCAACAATTTACATTGCTAATAATCATGTTTACCACGAACGCACAAAGCACATCGAGTTAGATTGACACTTCGTTAGAGATAAGCTTCAAGCAGATCTCATTTCTTTGTCACGTGTCTCAACCCAACATCAGTTAGCTAGCTGATTTAATGACAAAGTCTCTTAATGGACCTCATCATGAACATGCTACATCCAAGTTGGGGTTGTTTTCAGCACCTCCAACTTTAGGGGCTGTTAGCATAAGCTCAAGAAGGTCAAAGTTGTCTAAATATATATATATATATATATATATATATATATATATATATATATATATATATATATATATAGAGAGAGAGAGAGAGAGAGAATGACATTTATGTAATTTAGCTCATATTATGTTAAGAAGTTAGTTAAGTTGTTAGAATAGTTGTTTGCTTCTCTTCCTTTGTATATGTATGAAATGATTTCATGTATGAATAGAAAATTATTTATTCTCTCAATCACTTCGGTTCATCTTTAAGATCTTACATAATGGCTTAACACATTTTTATTTTGTTCAGTTTTAAATTCTTATGCCGGCCCCTCTAATGTTGATGGTTGTGTTCTGCTCATGGACAGTCAGGTGTCGGCGATGACAGCGATGGCAGGAGCACGATGGCTATAGGCGGTGCCAACGAGGGCCAGACTACAGAAGAACGTTACACGCACAACAACAACTTCTTGCCTAATTTAAGAGAAATTAATTATCGTTCTACTTTTTGTTCCTACAAATCTTCATACCCAATTATTTAGTGACATATATAACATTTAATGCTCATTTAATGATATTTTAATATATTAATATGACAAATGCGATCATTTAAGTGGGTAGGAGGATTTGTAGGAACCAAAGTATAAGGATATTTAATTTCTCATAATTTAATAAGTCGTTGTTGAAAAGGACAAAGACAAAGACAAAGTTACAAGAAGATGTCTAGAAAGGCGAAGAAGAAGTTTATTAGGGAAAGACGTGAAAAACGCGTGAGAGTAGTTCTTTAGAGAATGAAACGTTCACTTTTTTCCTATTAAATAATAAACATAATTACTAAGTAAATAAATTCCATAAGTACCATTAGTTGGTAATTATTTTTTTAAAAATACAATCCCTTTGGTTATAAACTCATTTACAATTATAACCTACCTAATACATATCCATCTCCATAATAATGTTTTTTTAATACTCCCTCCGTCTCGATATTATTGTCCACAGACAAAAAACATATATATTAAGAAAAACATTAATTACCACTAACTTTATTTAATAAAATGACAGTTTTGTCTTACTTTGCATTTAATGTTCCATTAAATGCTTAGTTGGTTAAATAATAATGAGGGAGTATTTTGGTAAAAATGTTATTTATTTTTAAAAGTGGATTATTATTTTGAGACAAACCAAAAAAGAAAGATGGACTATAATTTTGGGACGGAGGGAATATGTCCCTTTTGCATAGTCTTTAAGTCTCTTTAAGACGCGAATCAAAAGATATGCATTACTTATATCTTATATTGGAAAGATGAATCATTCACATCGACTCTATTCAATTTTTAAATACATGTTAATTACAAAGTTTTTTGCGATAGTTCTTCCTTCCGATAAAGTGATCCCTCATCCTCGACTAAAGCGATAACATATTAGTCGTACAGAGACCCACCAAGAACCTTTTTCCATCAATTATTAGACGAGAAACAATAAGAAATATAACCACGTTTATAAAAGTATTATATACTTCTAAACTTGCGTTTGTTGCATTAAACTAGACAAATTTATAAAGTATAATGGTATATTTTCAGTGATGAGGAGGATAAAGACAAATTAAATAATTTTGTCTGATTAGTCACTGATATCATTACAATTTCAGTTATTTTCACTCAAATACAGTATATGTTGATCATGAATTCATGATATGTCATCTTAAGATAACAAATGAGTTCTTTGCTAGTCACCTTAAATTCGTAATAAACGATTCCTTATATTTCCATAGTATCTATGTTGCTTTCGACAAGTTTAATAATTTGATTAAACAATATTTAACATGGTATTAAAAACCGGTACCCACTAGTGACAAATAAGATTCCTTTCCAGAGACTTAAACAAATAGCAACAGCAACTCACTTATTATGAGTCGAATCAGTTCTGTAGGTCCCTTCACTTCCAATCCTAGATAGAAACAACGTACGTACCCATGCATACCCCTTATATATATAATAGCAGCCAGCACCACTTAAATTCCATAATTCGCCACTTACCCTCATACCAAATGAACCCCAGGATCATCCTCCTGATGGCGGTAATGGTGGTGGTTTGCCACCCCTACACGGCAGCAAACACCAACCAGGAACAGAAAACATACATCGTTCACATGGACAAAGCTGTGATGCCGCCAGAATATTCCGACCACCAGAATTGGTATGCAACATCTATGGAATCGGTTTCCGAGTCGCCAGAAATGTTGTATACGTATGAAAATGTCATCCACGGCTTTTCAACCCAGCTCACGGTTGAACAAGCGAAATTACTCGAGAAAAAACACGGTGTTTTATCAGTCAAAGAGGAGGTTATATACAAGCTTCACACCACCCGCTCGCCAGAGTTTCTTGGACTTGCAGGGAAAGAAACGATATTCTCCGGGTTGAACTCCAGCAATAATGTGGTGATTGGGGTGGTGGACACCGGTGTCTGGCCCGGAAGTAAGAGTCTTGACGACACCGGATTTGGCCCGGTTCCTTCATGGTGGAAAGGCGAGTGTAAGAATGATACGAGCTTAACTACAAGAATATGCCTCTATTCCGACGACATCTATTCCGACGACACCTGTCGTCGGTAAAAATCTCGCTGTGACGACATGTCGTCGGTATAGTGTTCTGTTTACATTGACCAAATAGCATTGACCTGACACTCTATCCCGACGACATGTCGTCTCGACAGGTGCGGCGGGAACGAAAAGCATTTTGGTGGTATACTGAAAACCTATGCAGACGACATGTCGTCTCTATAGGTTACGGATTTTATGATTTTGATTTATTTATTTTCCTTGGTGCAAGAATTACTAACGACATCGTTTCGTGGAGAGCTATCCCGACGACATGTCATTGGGATAAAAAATGGCGATCCGTGTGACGACTCTATGCCGACGACATGTCGTCGGTTAGGGTTGTAGCCTAATAGAACCCAGTAGACATTGCATACTGTTTCCTTTGTTCCTCCACCTCCCAACGAAGAATCACGCTTCTGGTCCTTCACCTTCACCGGCGACGAGCTTGTACGTTTCTTACTCGTTCTTTTCTTCTTTGTTAGTGATTGTTTAAGTTGTTGACTCCGATTTTGGGGTTTTTTGTCCGGTTGGCTTTCACATTCACAGCCTTCACAGTGGCCACTCCCCTTCTCCTGTGAAATAATTCTGGTGTACATCTTCCGGACTTCACAAAACCGGTAAGCTTTCTAATTTTTTTGATTTCAAAGTTTTTTTTTTCACTGATTTGGTTGATTTGGTTATTTTCTGGTGAAGTAGTGATCAGAGGACCACCTGTGACGACCCACCTTCTCCTTCCAGCCACCACAGCCCACATAACAAGTAGCATATTTGATTTCTAGTTTTTTTTTTTTCTCTGAAATGGTGTTTTTCTGGTGTCCACCAGCCTTCACCGGAGGACCATAGTAGAAGCCGACCACCGGAATCCCGCAAACAAATACCACAGAACAGGTTAGTATTTTTTTTTCTTTTTTTTCCGCTCACCTATACCGACGACTTGTCGTCGGAATAGGTATATAATAAAACTTTATTTTTTTTCTTCGAAAATCAATCCCGACGACGCTTTGTAGACGACAAGTCGTCGGCATTGGTTTCTCTGTACCGACAACATCTATCCCGACGACATTTTTCACTTTTACCGACGGAGCTATTCCGACGACTTTGTACAGACAACTTGTTGTCGGTATTGGTTTTTCCGACGACAAGTCGTCGGCATAGGTGTTGAAAATGTCGTCTGTATAGGCATCGTTCCTTATAATAAGAAGCTGATTGGGGCAGCATACTTTTCGACGGCATATGAAGCCACATATGGGCCGATTGATGAAACAATAGAATCGCGGTCTGCGATGGATGATGATGGACACGGGACCCACACTGCGACTACAGACGCTGGTTCGACGGTGACCGGAGCTAGTCTTTTTGGGTTCGCGAAAGGGACGGCTCGTGGGATGGCTCCGAATGCCAGAATGGCGGTTTATAAAGCGTGTTGGCTCGGTGGTTGTTTCGGGAGCGATATACTGGCGGCAATAGAAAAGGCGATCGCAGATCGTGTCCATGTTTTATCACTCTCGATTGGCGGCTCGCTTGCTAATTACACGACTGACATGGTGGCTTATGACACGTTCAAGGCGGTTTCCCGCGGGATATTTGTAGCATGTTCCGCAGGAAATAGCAGGCCTGACCCGTTTAGTTTATGGAATGTTGCGCCATGGATAGCTACGGTTGGAGCCGGAACAATTGACCGTGATTTTCCGACGTATGTTATTATCGGAAACAGGAAGAAGTTTCGGGGAGTGTCACTTTATAGTGGAAAACTGCTATCAAAATCCATGGTTCCGATTGTTTACGCCGGAAATATCAGCACAACCACCGGGGAATTCTGTCTCCCAGGTACATTGCCACGGAGAAGAGTTGCAGGAAAAATTGTGATGTGTGAACGTGGCGGGAATTTACGGGTGCATAAGGGGATGGTGGTGAAAGCAGCTGGTGGTGTTGGAATGATTGTGGTGAACTCTGAAAAGTTTGGGGAGGAGCTAGTGGCCGACGCCCAGGTGATCCCAACCGCCACCATTGGTTACCGAGGTGGTGAAGCGATAAAAAGCTATATACTCTCGAAAGATAATCCAACGGCTACAATTGCATCAGGAGTAACCAAATTACACATCCAACCGTCACCGGTAGTCGCAGCTTTCAGTTCCCGGGGCCCGAACCCGCTCACCCCTAAAATCCTGAAACCGGATTTCATCGCACCAGGGGTGAATATTCTAGCCGGTTGGACTGGTAAAACCGGTCCAACCGGTTTAATAGAAGACACACGACGTGTCAAATTCAACATCGTGTCTGAGACATCGATGTCGTGTCCGCACGTTAGTGGGTTAGCCGCCTTACTAAAAGCAGCTCACCCTGCTTGGACCCCAGCGGCAATAAGATCAGCGCTTATGACCACAGCTTACAACGTATACAAAAACGGTGAAGGGTTAAAAGATATTGTCACCGAAAACCCATCGACCCCATTTGACAATGGTTCGGGCCATGTGGACCCGGTTCGAGCCATGGAGCCTGGTCTCGTCTACGATGCCTCACCTAATGACTACTTGGGCTTCCTTTGTGCTTTAAATTATAGTTCAAATGTCATTAAAATGTTTGGAGGTGGAAGTTTCAAATGTAGAAAGAAATACAGGGTGGAAGATCTTAATTACCCGTCTTTCGCGGTTCATTTGCGAACGGGTTCCGACCAAGGTGGTCCTACTACCGTCAAGTACACTAGGACTCTGAAAAATGTGGGATCTCCGGCGACTTATAAGGTTTCGGTATGGTTGAAAATGGCTTCCGTCAAGATCAAAGTTGACCCAGAAGAGCTAATTTTCACGAAGCAAGGAGAGAAAAGGGTGTATACTGTGACATTTACAGCTAGTTCCATGCAATCAGGGACTACTGGATTTGGTCAGCTAAAGTGGTATGGAGGAAAATATGTTGTAAGTAGTCCTATAGCTTTCAGTTGGGTATGATAACTGTAAGGAAATATAACAATGTTGTTATTATGGATAAGAAAATAAAGGCACATTGCTATTATGTTTAAATAAATGTAATCACGGCTAAGAAAACAAATTACATTTTACAACATTATAATATTGCTACATATAAGGAATGTAAATTTCTTTTTTTTTTTATTCATTTCTTAAATCTACTTTTCTTTATTTAAAAGTTAAAAAGGATTCGGGAGGGAAAGATATATACTTTTAGTTATACTTTGTTTATGAAATATAAAAATTAAAATCTATAATGACATGAATAATTTTATGACACTCGAATTAAATACCACTAAAAGGCAAAAATTAATATATATATGATGATATTGTTATACTTAACTAGTTGTGAAACCCGTATATTATAAGGGTTGATTAAAACAAAATGTTAAACACGAAAGAGTAACGGGAAGTTTATTTTGTATTTGAAATTTGAAATAAGTGAAAATTATGAGAAAAAATTAAAAAAAAATTATACAAGAAATAAATAAATTAAAATTAGGTGTTTAGTTGTCAGACCCGTGTAGTAAACAGGTTAATTATAACAAAATGTTAAATACGAATGTTTAAATTGTATATTAGAATTTGAAATTAAAATTTGAAATTTGAAATTTGAAATTTGAAATTAATATAGTTATTATGGTATATTTAATTTATAGAAACTAAATTAATGATATAATGGAAAATAAAAAAATGAAATAATAACAAGTGGAAAACAAATATCTCTAAATTACCCCAAATTGACATTTGACAAATTGAATGAGAGAATTACATATGACAATATGATTCTTACTTATTAGGGAGGATTAAAATTTTCATAAAATGAAATAAGAGATGAGATTATTCCTAAATTATAAAACATGACAATTAAAATGCCCTCCTTTGATAGAGCTAAATTAATCACAAACAAAAATTAAAAACCTCGTTTTCTTCCCAGCATTCATTGATTTACAATATTCAGAGACATTCGTCGCATTCTCCTTTGTTTCCTTCTTCTCCAAGCACCTCGACTTCCCTTCATGGTCAGTCCTCCTTATGCATTATCGTAAGTTCTCTCCACCCCTTCCTTCCACGTGTATGACAAATTGTTACTAACATTCATTTATGTATAACTTTCTCCTTGCATTGTTGATCCGCCCCAACTGGTCTGTGATCCTTCTCTCTCTCTCTCTCTGTCTCTGTCTCTGTGTGTGTGTGTGTGTGTGTGTGCACGCGCGAGCACGCGGGGGGGGGGGGGGGGGAGTTATTAGACTCGGTTTTGTAAAAGCGATTTTATGAAACCCCTCTCTCCCCCCCCCCCTTCCGCAAATCAATATCTTCTTTCTTCCTCTCTTTTCTCCTTGTATGACTTTTGACCATCAGGTTTATCTACCCAAATCACATCATGCATATAATTGTTAAATAAAGACGCCTAATTTTCGTGTTATTCCGATATGTTTTTTGATTAATTAAATTTGTATTAATTAAGTTTTTGGGGTGTTATCTGGGTGGTCGTGCGATGGAGTTTTTGGGGTGTTATCTGGGTGGTCGTGCGATGGATTGATGGGCATGATACGACCTATGTCACAACACGATCCTTAATGAAGATCGCAATGCAACAAACTGACGGGACTATGCCTAGAAGCCTCGATTTTGGGGCCTATTTAATGACACAAACCCCCAGGGTTTCGACATTTGTTTCTTTTGGTACTTGTAAGTTCTTATTGCCTCTTTATGTGATTTTAAAGAAGAAGGTTTCTATTTGGTGTCCAAGGAAGCAAGTTGTTAAAGTTATCTACCTTATTATAAGCTTTTCTAGGTTTGTAAGTCTCCCAGATCCAATCATTAAGGCTTTTGCATGCTAGATCTAAGGTATTGGTGGTGTTGTGGTCATTTTGGTCCATTAATCTTATTGTTCTTGGATTTTAAGGAACTCTAATGCTTCAGAAGAACATTTTTATGCTTTTGGACCTTTCATGTTAGATAAAAAGGCCATGCATCTACTTTCCTCGAGGCATGCTATTGGTTTTGGCATTTTAAGCGGATCATTGGACTTAAGTTATACTTTTGTGGGTGATTAAGCCTTTCTTATGGATAAAGTTGGAAACTTTACCCATAAAGAGGATTCTAAGATTCAAATACGAAAAGTTGTTTGGTGTGCGTTGATTATAGGGATTTTGGCTATGTGCCAATAGGCACACTAGAATGGTAACTGGGAGTTCCATATATCTTTAGGATGATGGCTTTGTTCCTATTGGCCAATTGAGGTGTTAACTATGATCTGATTACGGATGATAGTTCAATAGGTTTTTAGGATGATGGCTTTGTGCCTATAGGCCCAATGAGATATTTACTATGAGCCTTGTATGTATGCATTGTATATGCAATTTGATATATAGTAGTTTGGGGAACCCTCTAAGATTTTTTATTATAGTTGTAGATTAAATTTCCTTTTAGGTTGTACTTCTAGAAGTGGGTAGGCTCCATCTTGACTGTGACTCATGTATATCGCAAATGGTTATGTTTTTTCCCACTACTTAGGATGATTCTGATACAATGGATTTTAGTATTTGGTTTTATGTTCAAAACAACTTGGTATTTCTATGTTTATGAAAATGAATGTTTTACTTATGTTTTAGAAAGAAAAATTTTGGTTTGAAATTTAAGACATTACATTGAGATCCATGGTTTGAGGGATTTGGATGAACACTCGTGTAATTCCGAACTTAAACTAGGATATGAGAATTTTCAAAAATCTTTTTCAAAAAGAATTTTATAAAAAAAGAAAGAAGATTTGATATGTACAATCAACTAGAGTTTGGAAAGGAAAGTGATTCCTAAAATATTCGTACTTGTTATATTTGTTGATATGTGAACTGTTAGAAATGTATGCTAGTATCTAGGCTAAGGATCTTTGTAGGAATTTGATGATATATTTGCTTAATGTTTAAGATGCCTTGTTGCCTTATAATTTGCTTGCTATGTGCTATTTAAAGTTTATGCTAATGTTATTAGTGGCTAAGTGAATGCTTTAGAGTTGTACATGATTAGGATTGTATAACCTTAGAATGCTTGATTTAACCTTACTTTGGTTCCTTGTTTGGTTGTGGGCTTAGGGTAGAATCACTTATTCAACTTGCATTCACGAGGCGATTATCGATGCTAGCAAAGACATATAGTTATACAAGAGCGAGGGTGAGTGGGATCCTGGATATAGATTCTAGGGATATTAGTGGTATGTGCTTTTATATGCACAAACGTCAACTATAGGACCCCTAGTTATGGTCATTTGGGGTGACTTAGAACTTGGAGACAATTCTTCCGACCAGTATGGATAGGTGTGGAAGATAGTATGGGGTCGTACTACTAGAACCACATGATACGTATGTGGATAAGGGAGAGTCACAAGGCTTTTAGAAAACCTTTGGGTAGTTTTAGTGTGAGATATAACATTGTGAATTCATTTTAACACGTTCCCATTATCTTTTAGATTCAATGTAGTCACTACTCGAGCTGGCAGGTCAGGTTTAGGTGTAAACTATGATTACCCATGGTGTTCGGGTCCGAGCGATATGGATCTACATGACATCATCATATCTGAGGTTTCATGAGTCATTTTGGAGGAACTGCCCTGTATATTCAGGACAATCAAGGACTGTTTAATCGCCATGTTCGATACATGTTATGCGCCTGCTTAAACTATTATTGAAGTTGGTTGACTAAGGACCCGAGAGGTCACCTTCTGTGAGTTATATGCTTGTAAACCTCCTATGTGCATTTGGGGGGGGGGTGACGTTAGTTAGTATGCATTTGATCGATGAAAATAGAGTGCTTTCCTTACTAGTTTTTTCTCAACTAAGGCAATGGTCAGGTATGCGGTGAACCTTTTGCATGATGGAGCCAGAGGTTGGTAGCGCAAGGTTATCTAGTCCTGTAGACCAATTGCTATTGAGGCTATAACTTAGGAGGATTGTGTAACTAAATTCAAGGAAAAGTATGCACT